GGAAAAGCTCTGAAGGTGACCAGGTTTGATCTTGTAGTTAAGGAACCATACTGGGAACCAGGTGACCTGGATCCTATTCACACCTTTGCCCCAGACTACCTCTCTGACCCTGGGCAAGTTATTTAATCTCCCCGTGCCTAAATTCACCAGATGTAAAAGGGAGCTAATAATACCTTCCTCCCCCCCCACCCCATCACCACCCTTTGTTCATCTTGTAAGCTCTCTGAGGCTGGAACTATCTCTTTACTATGTCTTTGTACAGCACCTAGCACAGTGGGGGCACTCTTCTAAACTGAGGCCTTCAGGAGCTTACCAGAATTCAGATAATTAATAATAATGGATGGGGAGCAAATGGCTACTGGTGAAATGGGAAAGCAAGTTGTGAGGAGAAGACAGTGGCCTGAGGAATGGAGGACCTTATCCCCAGTACTCTTAAGGATTAATATTAGTTGGTGGTTGATGATAGCCATGCTACTTTGAGACTTGTCATGGTAAGCGATCAGTATCCCTGAGCTGCTTATTATAATTATTTTGTGTTTCAGTAATCTTTAGAGGTCCTAACAGAGATTTCGACCTGATTGTGCTAGGCACACTACACACATACACAGTAAGATAAAGTCCCAGCCCCAAAGAACTTACAGTCCCAATAGATGAGACAAATAAAGAGCAGGAGTATTACTATTCTACTTTTAGGCTACATCTACCTTACACACCGCTTTTGGTGGCATTCAGGGTATGCGTAGCTACGCGCTGCAGTGAAAAGCAAGCTGGGTCCACACTACAGTGTATAGTTACAAGGCTGCCAGAGCCTTTCCCTGCTGATGTAGGCTTTACCTGCAGCAGGGAAGGGCTGTAGCAGTGGGGATCTGGCAGAGCCTTTTCCCATTGCCTCCCCTCTGCCAGAGTCCTTACCAGTAGAGGGGAAAGTCTCTAGCAGCAAGGAATTGACTGAGCCTTTTCCCACTGCAGAGCCTTTCCCTGCTGCCTCCCCAGTTCCAGAACCTTTCTCCAGAGTCTCTTCTTGTGGCGGGGGCGCTACACAACTAAAACCAGAAGTGTAGAGGGAACAGCACGGATTGAGCAAAAAGATCTGTGGCGGGTATGTACTCAGGTACATGCCCACTCCCTTCAAGCATGTGTATTCTTTACTCACCTAAGCCATGCCTCACTGTCTACACTGCTATTTAAAGCCATGCTAGGGGGGCGATTCGAGTACACGCTATACACGCCGCTGAAAGAATCATGAGCTGTAGACCGTAGCCTTACAGATGAGGCACAGAAAAGCTAAGTAACTTGCGCAAGGTCACAGAGGAAGTCTGTAGAAGAACTGAAAATTGAACCCAGTTCAGTTGGACCTCTGAGTCCATTTCTTTAACCACCAGGCTAACCTTGTGCTCTGTTGCCGGCTGCATTTCCATTTGTATGCCTTTTGGTTGACATCTTGGTCATTTTTCTCCAACTTTACCTTTTTGGCCAGGCTGGAGTTTTCCTCTTCTGAGGGACTCAGAATCTTCTGCACAATTTAGCATGGAGAAAATGAATAGCGAGCCCTGCATATTATTAAATGCATTTACGATGTTGGCCTCACAGTTTGATCACAGTAGCCTCAGAAGGCTCATAGACCCACTAATACATAGTTTCAAGCCTGCATCAAAGAAGTTCACAACCCCATTGGGAGAAGCACTGACTATTGATGAAAGAGGGAACTTACTGTATATGTAAGAAAACTCTTTTCATGGCTTATATATTAAGCCAGGCTCCACGGGTTGGGGTAGATTGGGGCTGCTTTTAATTTACATTCCCCCTTGCTTATATTAAGTCTTCATCAGAAGAAAAATTAGTCAGATGTTTTCTTAATGACATCACTTTTTTTAAAACCCATTTCATTTTTTCCAGATGAGGTGGTGGAGATTGTTAGAAGTGATGTGAAACTAAATCTGGAACAGAGACTTTGATTCACTTCTCTTCCCCCCCCCCACTCCACCCCCCAAAATAAATTGGTAGATTTCATACACGGTTGACTTATTAGCAGCAACTTCGACTGTTACACAAATCTTAGCTCAAGCTTGGCTGAGCCTTGCAGGCGTGCTGCTATTGTAGATGATGTCATGGCTGAAGTACAGAGGATGTTAACCAGCCACAGTACACTGGGCTATGTACATAGGCCACACAGTTTGGAACAAGGCAGTTTTGGAAACTGACTAAGTCACCTACATAATTTTGGTAACAAAATGACATAGTAACAGGTTATGAGGTTGAAATCACTATGTGATCATAAGTTTGTCTTTCAGTACTATAAAATATAATGGGCTTGATTCTGCTTTCAATTATTGCACTGTGAATCAGGAGTGATTCCAATAAAACTTGTGTGTATGTGTGTGTGTTTTGGATACTGATATACCCTTGTAATGACAGCTTTTTGCTGCCTTGTATTTTACACTGGTGAGAGGCAGACTTTATCACTACAGAGGAGTATTTAGAACAATATATATATATTTTAAAAGACATTTTAATGTATTACACATCAGCAAAAAGTGTTCAAACACTTGCCAAATTTACTAATTTATCAGAAAGACAATGACAAACACCCTCATAAATTGCTGAATGAGGCTATAAAGCTTGTGTTACTGTTCTGTGCGGCTTTGTGGATATCCAAGTATTATAAATAAATAAAAAGGCACCTGAATTGTTGACAGTATAGGGTGAAATCTGTATCTTGAAGTTCAGGTGGCATGTCTAAGCCTCTCAGAGAGCTTCACTCTTGTGGCTACATACACATGTAGAGAGACAGATATTTGCGCTCACACACACTCGTGGGAATACTTAAATATTCTTACGCAGAGTCCTGCATAAAATGTGCTACCATTTCCAGTGCTTAGACCAATGCCACTGAGCTCAGCCCTTGTTCCAGCCACTCTCTTATCTCCTGTCATTCACCCACTTAGATTCTTTACGCTGATAATTCTGCATCTCTCCACTACCCTTTACCCACCAGCATGCTGCCAAGCCTCTGATCCCATACATCATAAAATCGTGCTTCACGATCATCCTCAAAACCCATCATCGGACATGCTCTACCCCTATCTTTCCACACCAACCCTCATTAGATCTAAATCTAATTTAAAAGGGATCTCACATGATGTAGACCCCTCTCTTTCCTCTTTGTCTACTGTTACTTTGCCCTGTTTCCTGTATGTAGCTAAGACTGTAACCTACTCAGGACAGGGACTGCATTTGTTTTCTCTGCATCCAGTGCTACCCATACTTATGGCACCGTAAATAACACATGCCACCAGTTCCCTATCCTGGTACTGTAGGCTTTTTTGACAGAACTCCCTTTGCAGGTTTATGAAGGGGCTGAACACTAAGGCTGAGTTTAGACTGGCATAATACAGATCCTGTATTTATCCCCGAGTGATAGGAAGGATGAAGGCTGTATAGTAGATTGAGCATGCATTATTGTCACTCGGTTATTTAATAAGGATTGGAAGATATGATGGAATAAACACCTGAGACTTCACTACACTACATCTTTCACCTTTGCTACTGCTGGTGGAGCTGCTCCAGGGTTGAAATACGGGTCTGATTTTTTTTTCTTATGTAGAAATGTCCAGATACCTAAACCTGCAGCATTTAGTGAATCCTTTCTCAGGTCAAATTCTCACTTTAACGGAGACTTTGCCTAAGCAGGGACTGAGGGATTTAGCGCTAAGGAGGCTAGAACAAGAAGAACACACACGATAAAATCTGATCAGAACATTTGCCCTCAAAATCTTAAAACAAACCTTCCAATGTGGTTTGAAAAAGTTTTGATTGACTTCTGCAGGTGGGTTATTTAGTCAGAGGGCGGCTAAGTGACTTGCCCCAGGTCACTCAATTCAGTGACAGGGTGTGGGATAGAATGTAGGAATTCTGGCTTCCCCTTCCCTGCTTTAATTACTTGGCTGTCCTCCCTCCCAAACTTCCTTCACTTCTAGACATTGCAAAGGCAGCAGCTGCTAGCCCCTGGGAGGTGCAGTTTCCTATCTGAGGCAGTCTCCTAGTAAGATGGGCAGATGAAAAAACTGTCAAAGAGCAAATAGGGATTCAAGGCCTGCTCACAACAGACCAAGAAATGCAGCTCATCCTGTGGCTCACCTTCATGACCATAAATGTGGCGAGTGTCTGTAGCTTTTACATCCCTTTCTTGTCTAGCTCGGCTTCCTGAAACTTAGATTCACTACTTCTATTGGCAGTTTTTTCCAGGCTTTGAGCACAGAAATTCTGCCTGACTTGCTGGCAAGCACATACCTCTCCTGAGCTCCAGCTGACAAAGTCTCTGTCTCTTTCTCTCTAGTTTTGACAAGTCCATGGTCTCACTATGAGCAGGTTTAGAAGAGAACAAAGGAGGTTCCTTTCCCCTCCCCCTTCCCGCAGGGAAGTGGCGATGGGCACTTTATCTTTTCTCTGTAAAGTTCATAGAGGAACTTGTAAAGAATAATTCTAGCACCTTGCACTTGCATAGCACCTGTTCTCCAAAGATCTCAGTGTATGTGGCAAAAATTCTTTAAATAGCCTTCACAATATCAATGTGAGGTCAGTATTGTAGAAACTTGTGGCCAACTAAGGCATCACATATGTCACTGTACTGTATTCTGTGGCCACAGAGGATTTCACAATAATTTATCTCTGAGTCTTTTGCTCCAAAACCAGTTGAGATAGAGGAGATTCTTCAACCACTATTAGCAGCATAAGATATAGAATAGAGCAATTATAATTCTCTCCAACAGGTGGCAGTGGTACATATATGCACAGTTTATATCTATTTTATAGAAGGGCAAACTGAGGTGCAAAAAATTTGAAATGACTTACCTAGGTTCACACAGTGAGTCAGAGCTGGGACTAGAACCCAGGAGTCCTTGCTCTCCAGCCATATGCTCAAGCTTAAAGAAAAAATGCACAAAGAGGTGCTAATGAAATTGAAGACCAATTTACTGTATGTTTTTCTGTTTCCTTCACAGGCCTCCTACCCTCAGTGGCAGCCCCGTTATCTCCGACATCTCCCTTATTCGCCTTTCTCCTCACCCAGCAGGACCTGGTGAATCGCCTTTCAACCCCCCTCACCCGTACATGAACCCCCATATGGAACATTACCTCCGCACCGTGCACAGCAGTCCCACTCTCTCCATGATCTCTGCCGCCAGAGGCCTCAGCCCTGCTGATGGTAAGCGCATTGCTGTCCTGACACTGAGCGTGAGGGTTTAAAGCCGTAGCTGAACTACAGGCTGTCAAGTGGCTGACATGAAATGAGTTGTGCAGTTCTTAGATTGACTGTTGTTGAACTATGCCTCCTCTCAGCAGTTGGCGTAGGCTGGCACCCATATTGGCAGTCTCCACAGAGAGGGCAGAAAATGAATGTGCATGGCAACGCTTACGCCGAGAAGTGGTCTCTGGGGGTCAAGGTTGAAGCATGTAGCCAACACGGTGCTGGAGGAGTTTGCTCTACTGCTACTCGTGCTGTAGCTATTTTGTAGCTCTGGCACTTTTCACCAGCACTACATTCCCTATACCCCAAGGATCTACAGCTGCAAAGGATCTACAGCTGCTCTCTGAAGTGGGGAGCTGTTGTTTTTTCCCTGGTCTGTAACTACACATTTGTTTTGCATCATTGCATTGACAAACCAGAGCATGAGAAGAGCTGTTACTGTTGGATTCTGTTATAAATATTTTGCTTAAAATTATGTACCATTTTACTCCAGTCTCTGGTCTTATGAGCTTCACTGGCAGTGGGTCCCCAGAGGGACCCCGGCAGCCCTGTGACAGGGCTGCAGCTGTGCAAAGTGTTTGTTGTGTCTTTGCTCTTTACACAACACTAATGATATAAGGAAACATCTTGGACACAGTAGGATTCCAAATAACCACGTTTACTAACTATATACAAACACACAAGGCCTCGCTACGGATATATGCTGCTGCTTCGATTGCAGACACCACAAGTCGGTTCTTGTGGCGTCTGCAACAGAAGACAGCAGGCAGGGCTCACTAAGGGACCAAAAAACTACTTAAAGGGCTATTACACAGTTCCTGTACACTACAGCGGTTCCACATGGCGCTAGCCTTTCTCACGTGATGGGTGCCCTAGTGTAAGGGGGAGAGGCCACCTGACCCCTCGTTCCTCGTTATTTCTGCTCTCCTCCCTCTCCCCCGGGTAATCCCTGTGGAATAGTTCTTGCCCGTGTAAAGGGACTGTGAAAACCTGTGCATGGTGCATAGATGCGGCACTGGCTGTAAATAACCCAGACACTTCCAAGCATCAGGCTGTATTCAGTATAGTTCCTACCTTCCCCATCTCAGCGAGCCGAGGCATCACACAGGCTTACGGAGTGTTTGATAATGTTAAACGCTGTATATTTGAGGTAGGAGGCAGGGAGAAATGAAAAATGGGAGGCTCTTCAGTAAATTTCAGTAATTTCAGAAAACATTGAAATACAGGTGTATCCTTTTGAAAGCATAAATAGATAGAGAGCCCAATTCTCTACTTATGTAATGCTGGAGCTGCATCAATTTATGGCAGAAGAGAATATGGCCACAATATATATATATATAATTCAGTACAGTCTGAGGTCTCATTTAGTTGCAGATGAGTAAATCAGAAGTATCTCCATAAGAAATCAATATAAAAAGTGAGTTTGTGAAGTCAAAATTGCACCTTGTATGTATCTACATAGAGAGGAAGGATGGTCCAGTGTTTAGGGTGCTAGCCGGGGACTCATGACTTCTGGGTTCAGTTTCCTGCTCCAATGCAGACTTTCTGTGACCTTGGGGAAGTCACTTAGTCTTTCTGTGCCTGAGTTTCCCATATGTAGAGTGACCAGAAAGCAAGGCTGAAAAACTGGGGCAGGGGGTGAGGGGTAATAGGCACCTATATAAGACAAAGCCCCGAATATTAGGACTTCCCCTATAAAATCGGGACATCTGGTCACACTACCCAAATGTAAAATTAGAAGAACAGCACTTTCCTACCTCACATCAGTGTGGTGAGGATATATCTATCAAAAGACTGAAGTGTTTAGATGCTGTGGTAACTGAGGGGCACGTAAATAGCTTGGCTAGATACAGGTACATGCACACCTTACAATGTGGCTTTTCTGTTCCTGTTAATTAGGTTTTGCTCACCCAAGCAAGTGTTAAGATTCCAAACCTCTGCTCTCAGCATACAGCAGAGAGGTTTTATTGCTCATGTATTTTTTTTTCCACCGCCTTGCAAAGTGCGTTTCATTATTGGGCATTTTAAAAGGGGCATTGTGGGGTTTTTTTAGGCCATGGTAAATAAGTTAATGGCAAGCTAGTGGGGAGGCAGGTTTGAAAAATTACAGTGGGAAGAAAGTGAGTGTAATTGGCTTTGGCAGCCAAAATGGTTTTATACTGCCAGACGCTAAACCTAGCTCTCCGCATTAGATCTCAGCTTTAATTTCCTTGAGCTGCGGTTGTTAACTGGACTCTACTTGTCTTTTTCTTTGCTAATAGGCACCAAAGTTGATGCTGACAGCGTTTTTGCTGTGGGCTGGTCGGGCCTTCCAGACCCCTCCCCGCAGTGAATTCTGTTTTCATGTGGAAGGATTATTAGAAGGGGGAATGAGACATTGTTTATAAATGTGCGGAAATGGAAGAATGCAGAGGCCTCTTTTGTCCACAGAAACACGCCCAAACGCACGTCATTAGAGCACCAAACTGAGTTGTAACAAGGGGGCTTGGGGACTGTGGGGCAGACTGTAATGTCAGCACTGGAGTTTTACTTACTGTGAGAACATTTTCCCCATGTTTGTCTCCTCACTCTCTGCCTCTACAGTGGCTCATGAGCATCTAAAAGAGAGAGGCCTCTTTGGTTTGCCCCCTCCCCCTCCAGGAGCCAACCCTGCCGACTACTATCACCAGATGACGCTCATGGCCAGCCATCCGAATCCTTACGGGGACCTCCTGATGCAGAGTGGGGGAGCAGCTAGCGCGGCGCATCTTCATGATTACCTCAGCCCTATAGATGGTGAGTAGGGAATGTGCCTCCCCCTTGCTTGGGGGCAGCTCACAGAGGGTTCCTCTGGGGGAAGTTTACTCGAGCCTAGAGAATTGTTCTCCACGTGGATGAAAGCAGATGTTATTGTGTGTGGTTTCTCTGTGTTTCTAAAGAACATTAGGGCTGCACTGTAATTACTGGTTTAAAAAGCTGAGTTTAAAAAGTTTATCCATATACAAAAAACAATCATGACCATTTGGAGAGGCACCTTGGCTGCTAAATACATGGGAGTCAGCATGGTGTATGGTGCACTGGCCTGGGCTCTAGTCCCTGCCAGTGACCTGCAGTGTGATGTCAGACAAGCCACTTCACCTCTTTGTGCCTCTGTTTCCTTTCCCACCTTGTCTGTCTTTTTTGTTTAGACTTTTTTGTTTGCACAGGCTGCCTCTCATTATGTGTTACACAGCGCCGAGCGCAAGGGGACTTTAATCTTGGTTGGAGCCTATAGGGCCTATGGTAATCTAAAGTCTCAGACAAAATGTTAAAATGGAATTAAGGTTGAAAGTATATAGTAAAAATCATTACAGGGGTGTTGTAACTGTCCCCAAATCAGACGTTCTGAACCCAGAAAATTCAGAGTTAAGGGTAAACTGAAAAGAAATAAAATCATGTTAAGGTATGAAAATGTAGCGTGAGCACCCACAGCTCTGCCATATAGCGAATCCGTCCATGTTATAACCTTACAATTATGATTCATGCTGTAGTTTCAGATTAGATTACACTGATTTTTAAAGGCGTAAGATTTTTTCTCCTCATGGTGTCTCACTCCATGAAAGACAATGGGGGGCTGCACAAGCAGCACTGAGGGCATGATGTGGCCTGCGGAATGTTTGTTAGAGGTGCTGATGCACAAGGAAAGAACCCAGCATGACTCTCTGATCCCATGCTTCTGATTGGCTCATGGATTAGTTCAGGCATTGAAACTGAGGTCTGTCTCAGTCCATTACTGCTTTAGAGATTCTACTTTTGATCTTTCAGACTTAAAGACTTTGAGGTTTCATTGCTTTATAACTGACTTCTTTTTGCACTGAGGCTGCAGTGATGAGAGCTCATCTAAATTTCTAAATAAAAACAATTTCTAAATAAACACTTTGCAGCTGATTTCTGCCATCAACAATTAGATTCACCAAGGACCAGGATTCTAAGGTTATGTCTACACTGCAATCATCAGGCATCATCATGTAGGCTTTAATCTGGCTAGCTTGGGGACCAATAGCAGTGAAGCTGGAGCATCACAAGCATCAGGTGGGCCAGCCACCCAAGTATTTACCCACAGTTCTGGGTGGGCTTGTACAGCCTATGCTGAAGCCCAGGCTGCCACGGCTTCACTCTCCAGTAGCCAAGCTAGCCAGATTAAAGCTAGCTCAGGTATGACTACGCGAGCTGAAATCACACTCCATGATTACAGTGTAGATTTACCCTATAACTAAAATCCTGATCTTTTCTCTCTGGTACTGTTCTGTCCTTCCCCACAACCACAGCCCTCAGGCCCAAACCTTTGACAGGGTGTTTTGTTAGAAAGCAAAACAGGTGGTCAGTAATAATTTCCTCATGATCTTGCCTGTTAAAGGTTAACCTCTGTTGGTGCAAAGGGGCACCTCTGAGTTTTCCTCTGCAGATCTCCTTAGTCTTCAAGATCTGCATTTATTCCCTGGCCCTCCCTGCCTCCTCCTTGGTGCATTTCTTGAACTGTGTTTTGTTTCAGTGACTTGCAGCAGCTCACTGAAGTGCCAGATAAAGAGCTGGTTAGATAAACAAATATGGCTTTTGTAATACTAACACGGACTACTGACACTCAATGCACCATGGTCCTCATCCTGTAGGATACTTAGTGTCAGTCTTTTATCTGAAAGTCATATGGGATTTTCTGTTCTGCAGAAGGGTCTCTTACTACCTGGCTTCTCCTAGCGTAGCTCTGGAGTAAATCATGTAACAAGGTCCCTAATTACATGCAGCCACGTTTATATCGGTATCACACGGGAGGGTTGAGTTTTGCCAAGCTCTAAAGACTGGGATCAGCATTATTTTGATCCTTTAAAAAAGCTTTCTTGATCAGTGACTGGAAAGCCCATCTGTAAACTTTTGGATTCCATTAATGGAAACTAAGCTATTAAGCAATAGTGGAAATAAATGAAGACTTGAAGTGAAATTCCACAAGGCCATTTTAAAGAAGAGCATGTTAAAAGCAGCGGGCCCCCCCAAAAATCTGTGGTCCACATGTGGAGTTTTATCCGTTAGTCTGGGATTTATTCTCTGATCATGTTCAGGCAGTCTGATTTATCTTTTCTCACTCCCCCCCAGCAAAGGCACTAGCAGTGAGATTGGGTCTGGTTATAAACTATGGCCCTGATTCAACAAAGGACTTCAGAACTTGCCTGAAGTCAATGGGACTTAAAAACATGCCTAAAATTAAGCCTTTGCTAAACAGGGATGGACTTAACCACATGCTTAATGCTTTACTAGATTGGGACCTAAGCCCTATAAAAAGGGCTTGGCAATGGCTATATCACATAGTTCATGTTCTGCTGGCTGGTTTGAAGCGCTGTCTTCAGTTCAGTAGCCTGTCTGATAACAAAAAAAGAAAAGGAGTACTGGTGGCACCACCAGTACTCCTTTTCTTTTTGCGAATACAGACTAACACGGCTGTTCCTCTGAAACCTGTCTGATAACAGAGGCTTGGGTTCAGAGTTACACATGATGAGGGAACTGCGAGTCACCGAAACCTGGAGTGAAGTGGTTTGTTCTGAAACCATGATTTAAGAAACTGAACCCATCATTCCTTTTTTGTTTAACAGATTATTCCAATCATTTATTTAAATAAGTGACCATATAAGTACCTAGGTGGATAGTTTAGTAATAAAACAGGATGCTCTTCTGATGCGGGAATATCAATAGCACACATTAAATACAGACATGTTGTTGGAATAAATGTTACATTCACAGAGCGCCTTTCCTTCCAAAAGATCTCTATGTTGCCTTAAAAACTTTACAAGAATCGCTTCACCCTCCCCTGAAGTGCAGCCAACTCTAGGGTGGAGCATAACAGCTGTTAAACACCGCATGGCACAGTAGACTACAATAACACAAAGCTGCTGTGTAAAACTGAAAAAAAAAAAAAAGTTTGGAAATGTACATTTCAAGCGGAAAACCTCTCCTGCCCTGGATACTGCAGCTCACAGAGCAGGTACTCTGCTGGTGAGGGGAACCCATTTTAACACCCCCATCTGAACATTGGAAGGCTCATTTGGAAGTGAGACAGCTGCCTGTGGTAGTTCTTTCATGCAGTCTTGTCTGGGGCTTTCCAGTTGCTTTAGTTAAATCTCTGGGGTGATTCCTAGATAACTAAGGGCTTGTCTACACTGTCATTTTTCGTTACCCCAATGTCACTGCACCGAGGTGCAGCAAAAGTGTAGTCATCCTGCACTCGTGTGAACCCGTACTTTCACTGGTCCAGGTTCCCCTAGTTTCAAACCTTTGGTCACCCAGAAGGCCAGTGGCAGAGCTGAGAATAGAACCCAGGTCTGCTGAATAAAGAATGCAATAGTCATGGCTGGATGCAGAGCTTTTCTTTAATGTCATTGCTTTTAATTGCACCTTCCATAAAAATGCGATTTGACTGTGAGACTCTAAGAAAAGCCGACAACCCTTTTCTCCTGCCCAGAAAAAAATGTGCAAAACAGAGAGAGACCAACAGCATCCCGTATGTGCTTTATCTGGAATCCTCCTGAATTGTGGTTTCTAATGAATCCAATTTATATGTGCAGGTTAGGCCTTCTAACCTTGTGCACTGGAAATAGAAGAATGTGGCCTTTCAACAAGGATCTTAGGGAAGCATTAGAATTCCTTGAACTGTTAAGCCTTATAGGGCCCCAGGGAATGAAAAAGTAAGAGTCCCAAGATAGCACCTGGTACCTGAACAAATGCCCAGAATCTGCTGCAGTCAAAGTAAGATGTGTGATGCTGTAACAGAAGGAAAGAAGGGAATAAGGAACCGGTTATCCTGAGACTGTTTGTGGCTGGCTGCTGCTTATTGATAAGGGGATTGTCTTATGTCAAGCACAAACCCCTTTTTATGATGTTGTTACTGCCTCTGGATTTAATTTGATAACCTGGGGGGATACTTCTGTGTCCTGTGAACAGAATTTTCTTTCCCTTTTTTTTTTCCTTCCGATCAGCCCATTAGAGTGTTGGCTTCAATAAGACTATGTTATTTTAGGTTTTGGATGAAGAAACACAGAAGAAGCACCAGTTATGGCTGTGATTTGGAAGGGAGGGAGTGTAAAATGTCTGTATTTCATGTACATTATGTGGCTGCCTCTGGATAAATTGATTCTTCAAGTTCTTTGTCCACCACTTAGATTGCAGCACAAAGTTATCTTTAAAGATGCAGTCTGAAGTTCTGGTACATACTGGATGTCCTGCACGCTCTGACAGTCAATCACAGTGCTTGGAGGAGTTCATTTCTAGGGTCAGTTCAAGAAGACAGTTAGATATTCCCAGGCACATTAATACATAACGGACTTCACAACTGATCACCGTGTGTTTACATTAAGCTGGGATGTGTTGTTCCCATTTCCAATGCTGCAAAGAGGACTTAAATCCTTCTTTATGAAAATTCCTTCCCGTCCTATCCGTATAATATCCCCAAACAGTGTGTGTGTATAAAATTGTCAGAGTTACGAGATTGAACCTTAAACTGAGACTGAACCTAAAATTTGTCTCTGACATTTCTTTCTTGGGACAGTCTACATTTGGGAAGAAATTCCAGATTGTGGATAAAGAAGGAAACTGACATATGTGATAAATTGTAGCACCATGTAATAAACTGCCAAAGAAATATTTCTTTCTTTACTCATGAAGCTTGAATTTCCTTCCAGAGTTAGATTGGTCCAATGCCCAGGATTTAATCCTGCACCAGTGAGAACGTTAAGATCCAGTCTTAGAACGCTGCTAGTCTAGAAATGGGATAT